TCTTGCTTTTGTTTCTTTCCATGTGATACTCAGGTCTGTACCAGAAGCCCTATCTAAACCTGAATGGAGGGATGCTATGATGGCTGAATTGGATGCTTTGCATAAGAACCATACCTAGGATACTGTTGACTTGCTAGAAGGGAAGGAACCAGTGGGTTATAAATGGGTATTTGGCATTAAATATCATTCTAATGGCTCTATTGAGAGGTTTAAGGCCAGGCTGGTTGCTAAAGGCTACACTCAGATGTATGGTATCTATCTTGAGACCTTTGCTCTTGTGGCTAAGATGACCTCAGTGTTAGACAGTGCATGCCCTTAGCTCTAATCAGATTGATGTACTTTTGACATTTATTATAAATGAATAATAGTACATAATTGATTCATGTTATATATGGTGTGTTTCTGTGTAATACCCTTAAACTAGACACTTATGAGACTCGTGTTAGCTTAGAATCTTCACAGCCGTTGGATAGACCTGCGGAGGTTTATCCTGCCAAGGTTGACACTAATGTGCTACCAAGAAGGTTGGGGTGGCTTATCTCAGCTACCAGGGTAAGACCTGAAGCACATGTAGTGTGGGTTTGTTTGAAACTCTGAATCAGACCATTTTCCAGTTATGCCCTGGACCTTGGAGACAGATGGGCAAAACTGAAAAGTTACACCTAACCCCTAGACTCGATTATGCTACTACACTAGGTGTTGGATTGAGTTGTCTTTGATATGCCAATCAGTGAGATCCTTAACGGGGGTCAAAACCTGGATATGTTGGGGCAGTTTGAGAATTCACCTGAGTGGGTGATCATAGTGACAGAATCAGCCCCTTTGTCGGACAAAATGAATGATCAGGAAATGTACTCTCTCTGATGGAAACCTAAACTGCCGGCAGTTGATTTCAAATTTGTTGAGATTTGTTTTTGCAAAATATATTTATATATAGATATACATATATATTATGGTTTCACAAAATGTTTGCAAAATGTTTTAATTCCTGGGATCCATGTGAGTAGAGAGTGCAACATTGCACATTGCAGCCGAGGGAGAGGTCCTCTCTTGTTGGGCAGTGTTTGATCATTATGGGCTGAGAAATTAAGTGTAAGACCATTTGAGATTATACCTGATGGGCTAATCTCACATAAGTCGATAGTCCTTGGGCCTTCATAAGGTGATTGAACCCAATGACCATTCACTGTCTTCAGCAGTGAATTTGGCCAGGCCTTGTAACAGAGCCTGGGCTGAACCCATATGTCTTTTGTGGAGATCAATGCTAGGGTCCCACACCATACAAAGAGAGGCAAAGTAGCCAACATTTAAAAGGAAAAGTGAGCTATATGACTTAATGGGCCTAAAGCCCATATCAAACTAGGCTTAAGTGATTTAATTAAATGGGGCGAATTAAGGTTTTTAATCTGATTAGGATCAGCTACAGGATAAGATAAGTCTTATCCACTTAAGAGTTCAGATCCGAATATAGATTTGGATCAAGAAACTCCTTCCTAATTGGATTAGGAAGCTAATCCTGAGAGAGTTATAAATAAGGGGGTGAATTCCTCAGTAGGTGAATTCTTCTTCTGCAGTTTTCTCCCCCAGCTCTTGCCACCCCTATCCAATTCGATCTCTACTCTTGGAATTGATCAAGATTAGATCTTGATATTGTTTCTTGTTAGAAGAAACAATCTGAAGTCGTGCTACAACCCCTTGCGTGATTCTTGCTGAAGAATTAGGGTTCTTGCTGAAGAACCTCCTTGTTGATCCTACCTCAACATAAGATGTGTCATCTTTAGTGGATGTGGGTTTTGGTGACCTCTTTGGGCGTCAACACCTACGTTGGGAGTTATTTACATTGATTTCGTATCAGGTATATCCCTCTCCCTCTTTGGGTTTCAGATCTGGTCCGGTTTGTTTCAAGAACGAACATTGAAAAATGCAGTTTTTCTAAATTAAGGAATACGATTCCCGAATGGGAGAAAGAAATTTTTTGAAATTTCGCCCAGCCACCCTGCATGGTTCGACCATCCATATGATGGATCTTCCATCCCTTCACTTAGTCCGAGTTTTATTGTCCTTAGCTGCTACTTTTGAATGGCCTCTCCACCAATTTGATGTTAAAAATTCCTTTTTGAATGGAGATCTACATGAAGAGGTCTATATGTCTTTACCTCTAGGAGTGTATGGAAAGGAAATGCAAGGGAAGGTCTATAAAGTACAAAAATCCATTTATGGTCTCAAACAGTCTCCTTAGGCTTGGTTTGAGAGATCCATGGCTGCTCTTGTCTCATTTGGTTACACACAAGTTCAATTTGATTGTACCTTGTTCTTGAAAAGAAGTGGCTCTCTGGTGACCTTTCTGATAGTTTATGTTGATGATATTGTGGTCACAGTAATGACACCCAGGAGGTTAGTAAACTCAAAAGGTTTCTTAACTCTGAATTTGAAATCAAGGATTTAGGAAATCTCCGATATTTTTTGGGCATTGAAGTTGCTAGATCTAAGGATGGTATCTTCATTTCTCAACGTAAATATGTCCTTGACCTCCTTGTTGAGGTCAGTAAACTTGGTGAACTTTTTATTTGTTAGGGGACTGTTCCAGAGATTGCTTGAGAATTTGCTATATCTCTGCATGACTTGGCCGGACATTTCCTATGTAGTGAGTGTTATTAATCAATTTATGCATTCTCCTAGAGATACTCATTTAGCTGCTGCAAAAAGAGTTTTGTGTTACTTGAAAGGTATTCCAGGGAAAGGCATTCTATTTGCCAAACATGGGCACATGAAACTGGAAGCATACACTGATGCTGATTGGGTAGGATGTATTGATAATAGGAGATCCACCTCGGGTTATTGTGCTTTGGTGGCAGGGAACATTGTTTCATGGAGGAGTAAGAAACAGTCTGTAGTTGCCAGATCCTCTACTGAAGCAGAATACAAGGCAATGGCACATGGTGTGTCAGAGTTACTGTGACTACGATCACTTTTAGAAGAATTGGGGGTTGACTATGAGAAACCAATGATGCTCTACTGTGACAACCAAGCAGCTATCAATATTGCACATAATCCTATTCAACATGACAGAACTAAGCACATTGAGGTTGATAAACATTTTATATGGGAAAGAGTTTCCTCAAAGAGAAGTTTGCTTGCCATTCATTGCCTCAGAATAACAGTTGGCTGATATTTTGACCAAGGGAGTTCCAAGAGGGAAGCTGACACACTATATAAGCAAGCTGGGTATGATTGACATCTATGCTTAGCTAGGGGGAGTGTAGAGAGACTGGGCCGAATGGGCCCTAGTATCTTTTCTTGTAGTATGTTATTTATTTATTTGTTAGCTAATGGGCCTATCTTTATGGGCCTGTTATTTCTTTTTTGTTAGTTCTCTTTATGTTATTGCCTAGTTGGCCGCCCACTTAAGGGCATACTTGTAATTAACCTAAGATTGAAGTTTAACAAAAGGATTAGAGAAGGGAGGGAAGAGATATTCGAACTCTTCTTCTTCCTCTTCTTTTCTCCATCTTCTTCCTTTGTGTTGCTGTTCTCTATTTCTCTTCTTCTTTTCTCTCTAAATTTTACCAAGTTGATATTAGTTTTAGAGGACTGATTTACATCTTAACGTATTCTATAATTATATAGAAATCCAAGTTTAAATTTCTGTAGACCTTTGAGAGACAACCATTTTTGCAATTGGACCACCAAATCTAATGTTACTTTAATGAATTAGTAAAATCCTATTTAAAGGAAAACAGAAACCAATTGGACCACCAAATCTAACGTGTCTCACTTTCCCTTCCTCTTTATCTAAAAACTGATTTTTATTTCATATTTTTTAAGCATGATAGGCATTCTTTATAACTCCGCCTAATTGCCACCAACTATTGCTCTCGATACTTTCCTTTGTAAAAATGTTATTGGGGTTAATGATCAACCATTCCACATGGAACATTGTTCCATATATTAGAGCTAATCAATGAATTAAACACATGAATAATAATTTTTCTACAACCAACCCTCTACTATTTCAGTCACACATGAGACAACAGTTATTTATACTAAATAAATAATCTTTAGGTATCCGCTTCATTCTTAATGCATAACTAATAACCTCTAACATCAATTAATTGAAAATTATTTATGGAGGTGCTAATGCATTTTTAGTTTAATAATAGATAAGCCTGTTCCATTCGACCACCAACATATCATCCAAGTACATTGGCTTCCTCCCTGATCAATTCTCTTATGAACAGAGGAGGAAGGGGTTGCCAAGAATCATTACAATTGAACTCAACATTATGTTTAGCTAACCTATGAGTGACATTTATTCCAACTATATGGGGTTGACTACATGAATCCTGTTTCGCCAATCTGTTCTATTTAAAGCCATATCCACTATTAAATTGTTAATGCTTAATCATTTCTTAATACTTCTACCCATGCCAGTTTTGGTCTACCCCAAGCTCTTCTAGTCCCTTCAATGTGTAACAAATCACTTCTTCTAACTGGCACAGTTGGTAGTCTTCTATGCACGTGCCAAAACCATCTTAGTCTACTCTCTCATTTTATCACCTATTGGAGCTACTCCTAGGATTCTAGGGATAACTTCATTCCTAATCCTATCCTTTCTAGTCTTTTCTATTCATCCATCTTAGAATTCGCATTTCTGCCACATTCATTTTCTGAACATGCTGTTTCTTGACTACCCAACACTCTGCTCCATACAACATAGCTGCCCTTACAGTTTTGTAGAATTTTCCTTTTAATCCATAGACCTCAAAGAAGGAGACTAAAAATCTTTAAAAAAGATACAAAACAATGGTTACAAGGAGGCATTAGGACTATGTCCGGCATGCAATAGAATTGTAGAATCCAATTTTCAAGTCTACCATTTGAAATCTTTAACCCCACAAAAATGCCAGATCACTTGATCACAACAATTTGATCAACAACATAATCGCAGAGATTCGGGGGAAATAATATACTCATACTAACAGCTAAAAGGATGGGAGAACCTTGATGCATCCAGCTTGTTTGATAGCTCGAATAAGAAGTTTCTGATCGAGAACTTGCTTCGCTGGAATTGCGCAAATTACAACATCAACTTGCTCGACCGCTTCAATGATGCTCGATAGGTGTTGCAGGGAGCCCTAAACAAACATATTAAAGAGAGAACTTAATTTCAGGGAAGATAAAAACAAAATCTTTAAAATTGAGAGAGACCTTGAGAAGTTTGGCCCCGGCATTGGAGAGGGTTTCGAGTTTGAGAGACTTTTCAGGATGAGAGAATGCCGACTCTCTGACGAGAGCGACTGTGGTATGGCCGTAGTCGAGGCTCGCTTTCGCTAGATGATAACCTAGATTTCCCGTGGCCCCGATTACTAAAATTCGGCTTTTTGCCATTGCCGGTTGCAGGAATTACTAGAATAGTACAACAACCGTCGTCTTGTTGTACTGCAGCAGATAAAGAGCTCGAGATTTTGAATTTTGTGGGGATTATGGATGCCCTGATTGCCCTCTACTCTACTCTGCAGTCTGCACTTCCGAAGAGGAGACAAATCTGGCCGGATGGTTGGATCGAGCGGGTTGATTCTGGCCGGACCCTCGGCGGCTTGCCTTGTGTGTTGATTTGGCCATTTGGGCCAACCGGCCAATGGCAATCTGGATTTCTTCGAAAAATGGACGGTACACCAACGAACTATGGTGGTCCCAACCCAATCAATGTAGATTGTAGACCATCCAAAATTTGACGGTTTTGTTTGTTACGTTGGCGGTAAGTCATTGAAATGAAGGGTTCACTGTTCAGGTACTAGATAGATCCCACCGTGAAATGAATCTGGGCTCGGAATTGGAAGTTTCTACTAGGACAAGTAGCAGGAAATCTAATCCCATTAACTGGTAAGCTAAGTCTTTAACGGCATTCTTTTCAAATTTTCAAATTCGAAAGGAGAAAGCTGAATATGTAACCGTAATGAACAATCGCGATCCCTCATTTTACGTCTTTAAAAGATCGCAAAAATAGTTTAATCGTTCTAGAATTGCAGAACAATTGTTTCCCCTTCGATCATCAATCTGAAAACCCTTCAACCAACGAAAGAGAAAAGAAAATCACCAGAACCATCACTTCACAGAGGGGGGTAATCGTGTTCTTCAAGGTCTCGTCTAATCCAGCTACTCTGTTTTTTCGGATTGTTGCCCTGTGTTCGTGTGTCTCTTCTTTCATAAGAAAGATTGTACCTTTTTTTTATTTATAATCATGTTCGTCAATCAATATTCGTGTGTTTCTGCTATTATAGAATTCGACTCTGTTTCTTGACTCTTGTTGTTTGAATCTTTTCTACCGTTCCAATTCAGTTATCTTGAAGGAGAAGCCAAAGTGGAAGGAAAGAATATTTGGGGAGAGCCCAATCTCTCTTCTCTCGTTCTGAATTGAATTCGGGTATTCTTCATCAGTCTTTTCTTTACAGTTTAAAAGAATATTTGTGAATCTTCTTGTTTTACTTCTATCATCCGATTTCCTCCATCTTATGGTTTGTTGGGAATTCTTTGCAGGTGGTTCTTGCAAATTCTTGGAAATATGAATGATCTTATGACCAAATCGTTTCTCAGCTATGTGGAGTTGAAGAAACAGGCACTGGAGGACCTCGAAGCCGGACCCGACACTGAGATGGGGCGACTCGGCCCCACGGATGAAGAAAACTTTGCCCAGTTCTTTGAAGAAGTTGGTGCAATAAAGGATGAGATGGAAGTGATCAACAATCTTCTGCATGACCTTCAATGCCTAAACGAAGAGACAAAATCGACCCACAGTGCTAAAGTCCTACGTGGGCTCAGAGACAGGATGGATTCAGACATGGTGACTGTCCTTCGCAAGGCAAAAATCATCAAAGCACGGTTAGAAGCTCTAGACCGATCCAATGTAGCCAATCGTAGCATATCGGCAGCTTATGGAGAAGGAAGTCCTGTTGACCGGACAAGGGTCTCAGTCACCAACGGTTTGAGAATCAAGCTGAGGGATATGATGAACAATTTCCAGTCCCTGAGAGAAACTATCGTCTCGGATCACAAAGAAGGTCTTAAGCGAAGGTACTTCCACGCGACTGGAGAGGTGCCGACTGAGGAGATGATCGATAAGATGATTCTGGCAGGTGGACAAGTCGAAGTATTTGGAGGCAGAACAGAATTAAATTTGGAGAATCAGGAGAGGCAGGAGGCTGTGAAGCAGATCCAAAGGAGCTTGACCGAGCTGCATCAGGTGTTCCTTGATATGGCTGTTTTGGTTGAAGCACAGGGCGAACAGATGGATGATATCGAAGAAAATTTGGCCCGCGCTGGAAACTTCATAAGTGGAGGAACCGACCGACTCGTCTCTGCAAACAAAATGAAGAAGGGCAAATGGGTATGTTGGGTTTGGCTTTTGGTGCTTCTCATTCTCTTGGTTTGCTTCCTTGTGGCTGTCACTTGACGAAATGAAATCACCGCAATGACAACTAGCTATTTGGTATATACATTATGTAATTGCTGGTGTATAAGCTGCCAACTCGGATATTTCAGTTTTCCATTATATGCTAAAAGCCTGGAGCTTAATCACTGTTCATCATACTAAAGCTCGGAACTTACCCAAACTAGTTTTCCAATTTCAAGACCACCGCATTCTAATGCTGCCGACTGCTGCCTTGGTGAATGGTGATGCCAAGTTCTCAGTCTATAAAGCTGAAACTGTTCTGGTTCTCTGATTTGTGTCCCCATTCGTAATTGGATCGACAGGTTAGTTGTTACTATCGTAGATAGACTTCCAAGTATAATTGGATTTAATTGGGTCAGACCAGACCCGATCCATTGCCAGCTCTAAGTGAGTTGGGATCTCCTACCCACAAGATCCCTATCCATACCTACCCACGCCTCATTATAGATATACATTGATAACATCTCCCATATTTGCATATTATCATTCATTGGAAGATGTTCCCAATGTACAGTTGTAGTGTCATGTGGGGTAGGCGTGGATAGAATTCTTGTAGGCAGGGATCTGAATTGGCTTTAAGCTGTGATCTTAATTAGTATATTTTTAAAAATAAAAATGGATAAATGTTCAAGGAAGAGAGAAGCAGCTTTAAGGCTTAAGGCCTGATTTTCATGTTAGGTTTGATTTGCCCAACCTAGGCCCGGTCCAAATAACCAAATTGAAATTTGACAGATCTGTGTTGGGCCTGTGCCAGGTTTGGGTTGATAAATTGGAATTAGGCGGGCCTATTAGGCACAATAGATTAAAATATTGTATGTATATATTTTATTATTAATAATTTAAAGGGCAAAATTTTTAAACTACCCTTATGCTATTTACATTTTGTCTCAAATATCTTTATTGTTTCTGACAATTGTCTAAAACCTTCACTAGTAACATTTTTAAATTCCTAAACTACCCTTCTCCTTTTCATTCCTCTCTGTCCTTTCACTGTTTCCATTTCCCTTCCATCTTCTTTTCCTGCTATAGGGCCTCTGGTCGATGATTTTGTCCTATAGCGCATCGTTTGGGGTTTCTGGGTATTTCTGGGTGAATTCGTCCTATAACGCATCTCTCTCTCTTATCGGTGATGTTTAAGTCTTTTGGAGAAGAGCCACGCCACAAGCTACTGATTCCTTCCTGTTTTGCCATCCTTGTGATGGCGTCAACCACACTCTTGTAGTTGTGTCGTTGGGCTGGGAGAAGAGCCACAATCGTCAGCTTGCATGCAAACCATGGCAACGTCGACTAGGTTGCCGATTGTGGAAGGCATTTTCCGCAAACTAGGGTCAAACCATTTTTGTTTCATGATATCGTAAAAGGCCCATGCGGGTGATAGAGTAGAGCATTTGGATGGCAACAACCACAGAGGGGGGTGTTGAAAGCGAACGTGGGGTGCAAAGTTTGAATGACTGGATTTGGGACATAGGTTTCACCCTGGAGCTGCATCCGGACCTTGATGAGGTCAAGTGGGTGGGTGGAACAGCCGACAACGATCAAGGCAATGCCTCCTTTGACGAAACCTTTAAGATCCATCTTGATTCCTGATTCACAGCCATCGGTGGGAAAGGAAGATATGCTATATGAACGAACACAGATTGAATTGAATTGGTTTTCACTACCTTTGAGTGATTCATTAGAATGTATTTATAATTTGTTACAAAAGTTAGAAGTTTACAAGGAGAGAGACTCTCTCTTAGATAAGATACAACAGAAAATGAAGATAGGATAAACAATAATTTAAAATTAAAAAACGCCATAGGTTTATCCCATGTGTTACGGGATAGGATGCTCAACACCCCCCTTCAAGCTGATGGTGGGGGAGACCACCCGAAGCTTGGATCGAAGAGCAGAAAATCGAGGAGAGCTTAAAGCCTTGGTGAAAATATCTGCTACTTGATCAGTAGGGGAAATGTAATGATCATGAAGATTCCTAGAGGCAACTAGGTCACACACGAAGTGGAAGTCAATCTTGATGTGCTTGGTCTGCACATGAAATACTAGTTTAGCAAATAGGTAGGTGGCACCAATGTTGTCACACCACAATGTGGGTGATGCAGTCTGAGAAATACCAAGTTCAATGAGAAGAGAGCGTAGCCAAATAACCTCAGAGGTAGCAATGGCTAGGTTGCAGTATTCTGCTTTTGTGTTGGAGCGAGAAACTATAGAATGCTTCTTAGAAGACCAAGAGACAATATTGTCTCCAAGATAAATGCAAAACCCACCATGAGACCGTCGGTTGTCCGAGCTGCCAGCCCAATCCGAGTTAGAGAAGACATGTAAATTAGTGGACTGTGAAGAGGTGATGTTGAGTCCATAATCAACTGTGGCCTTCAGGTAGTGAAGAATGTGCTTCACAAAGGCCCAATGAGTTGTGGTCGATGCATGCATGAATTGGCAAGCTTTGTTGACTACAAAGGACAGATCAGGACGTGACATCAACAAGTATTGAAGAGCATCGATGACCTTCCGGTATGAGGAAGGATCAGTTAGCGGATCACCATCATATTTGGAGAGAACAGTTGTTGTCGACAGGGGAGTCTTGATCGATTTGGCACCATCAAGGGAGAGATCCCACAACAGATCAATAATGTATTTGCATTGGGATAAGAATAGGCCAGAGTTGGTGCGAATGGCTTCAATGCTAAGGAAGTAGTGAAGAGGTCCAAGTTCCTTCACAGCAAAGTGAGATCGCATGTGTTGCAAGAGAGTGGAGATATGAGAGTTGCAGGATCCGGTAACCAAAATATCATCAACGTAAATGAGGACATATGTCACAATGGCATCCTTAGCATAGATAAAGAGAGATGAGTCCGATTTGGAGTTGGTGAAGCCTGAAGAGAGAAGAAAGTGATGTAGTTTAGAGTACCGGGCCCAAGGGGCTTGTTTAAGCCCATAAAGTGATTTCTGTAGTCGACATACATGAGATGGGTGTTGAGTGTCAACGAACCCCGGGGGCTGAAACATGTAAACCTCTTTGGAAATATCACCATGGAGAAATGCGCTTTGGACATCTAGTTGATGAATCGGCCAAGAATGAGAGATAGCAATGCTGAGAACAACCCGAATGGTCATGGATTTGATAACCAGACTAAAGGTTTTAGTATAGTCAAACCCTTCACATTGATTGTAGCCCTTGGCCACAAGGCATGCCTTAAATCTGTCAATGGATCCATCAGGGTTTTCTTTTGATGCAAAAAACCCACTTGCACCTGATAATGTTGGAGTTCGATTTAGGAATCACTAGCCCAGGTGCCATTGCGAAGTAGAGCATCAAATTCATCACGCATAGTAGCACACCACTGTGGGTGACGATTAACTTCAATGAAACAAGATGGTTCAGTCGTTTGCAGAGGATAGCGAGATGTGAGAAGAGAGTACTTCTTATTGGGTCAAAAGGTGCCTTTCTTGCCGCGGATGACCATGGGATGAACATTACTGATGGGAACGGTGGTGGCGGATGACGGGCTTTGCTCAACATTAGCAAGAGACTGTGTAGGTGGCAACGCAGCTGAGGTGGAGGGACTGTCAATTGAAGTAGTAGGTTCTGGTGAGACAGTCGCAGGTGCGGCAAGGAGGGAATCAACACCAGAACGAAGAGGCGGAGCAAATCAATGGCTCTTGGCTGAGGGAGTGATGGATGCCAAAATGGGAGGAAGAGAGGTGCTGCCATGTGCTGGAGAAGGCTGCGCATGCTGAGAAGAAGCACCCATCTGAGAAAAGGGAAAAATTTGTTCATTAAATATAACATGAACAGTAATGTAGTAACGACCAGTGTTGAGGTCCAAACACTTATAGCTTTTGTGCACGGAGCTGTAGCCAAGAAATACGCAGGCCTTGGTGCGATACTCTATCTTGTTGGAGTTGTAAAGGCGAAGATGAGGGAAGCATAAGCAACTAAAAGTTTTGAGAAATAGATAATCCACTAGTTTGCCAAACAAAGTTGTAAATGGAGATTTTCCAGCAAGAACCCGGGAGGGTAGCCAATTCAACAAAAAATAGGCTGTTTCAAAGGCATCAAACCAGTAGTCACGTGGCATAGACATATGGTCCATGAGAGTTAAGCCCATTTCAACAATTTGTCGATGCTTACGCTCAATTTTGCCATTTTGGGCAGCAACATGTGGATAGGAGAAACAATGTGAAACACCTTCTTGAGCGAGATATGATTTGAAAGCAATGAATTCCTTGCCATTATCAGTTTGAAGACATCTAATTGGAAACCTAATAAGTTTTTCATCATGCTTCTTAAAGGATATACAAGTTGTCAAAGCATCAGATTTAGCAAATAGTGGAAAAACCCAAATATATCTACTGAAAGAATCTGATGAAGGGGAATTTGGCCCGACCTCGCAATCACCCGACACGTGGCAAAAACAAGCAACTCGGGACAGTAGAGCGCCCGAAGCAGACACCGAAAGCAAGCCCAAGCTCACTACTGAGCCCGAACTCCAGACCGCCCTACTAGGAGCCCGAGCTCCCCACCAAGAGCCCGAGCTCCCTACTGGGGGTCCGAGCTCCCTATTAAGAGTCCGAGCACCTTACTGAGAACCCGACCTCCCTGCAAGGAGCACAAACTATATTGGGCCCCAAGCCTCGCAAAGCTGTGACCCGAGCTGGCCCATGGCAGCTCGGAACACTCCCCAAACCGAACTCAAGACATCTCGCTCACTCCAACACTTCGCTTCCGAAACACCAGGCTGACCAAACATACCTGA